TGCAATGAGTAGAATTTCCCTTCTGTCCCTTGTCACAAGTTTAAAAACCTCACAGCTTGTATAATGTAACCGTTTGGGGTCTGCTTTTAACTTGGACTCGTGTAACTCCTTCATGCAATAAACTGAAAAGAGCCATGCTGTCTAGTCTTGAAGTTCCTCATTTAAACAGAGGTCAAGCAGTAGGCGCCTGGCAGTGTCCAGCCTGAAACGGAGCAATACCGTGATGTTTCAGCCAAGCCCATGTCTGGCCAAAGATCCTCACCAGAGTTCCCTGCCCTCAGAGAATGTCATCACCTGGGCCTGAACAGCCTTCCATGAAATGTGCCCTCAACCAAGGTACATGCCCTTGACCGGAATCGAACCTGGGACCCCTCAGTCCACAGGCCGACGCTCTATCCACTGAGCCAAACCGGTTTTGGCCACCCTTATTTAAATAAAACTTATTTTCAGAAACACCTGAAATTTTTTTTAAAAAAAATAAAAATAAAAGGACTTTAACGAATTTGAGGACTCCAGACACCTGCATGGGTTCTGGTGCCGTTTCCACCACCAACTCTGTGAGTCACTGTCCCTCTCCTGGCACCTGTTGACTCATCCAGACAACACAGTAGCTTACCTAGTTTTCTCTTCCTAAGTTCCTGTATCCTTTAAGTTAATAGATGCAAAAATCTATGATTTATCCATGAAGATCGTTACCAGTGTCTAGTAAAGTTATAACTGCACATACCTTTGACCCAGCAGTTTCAATTCTAGAACTTTATCCTACAGATGTCATCACCAGCCTGAGTGGAAACTAATACATTAGTTATTGCTGTGCTGTTTATAATATCAACATACTGGAAACAACTTAAATGTTTATTCATTATGATTAAAATAAATTGTGATATCTATAATAATAAAAGCATAATATGCTAATTAGACCAGACATCCTTACAGACCAAGCCAGGGCTGCCTGGTCCCAGGTGCCAGAGGGAAGCCGGTGACGGCAGCCGGGGAAGGAAGGCCTACTCTTACACGAATTTCATTCATCAGGCCTCTAGTAGTTATATAATAAGCTACCAAGCAACTGTAAAGAAGGTTGAGAAAACCTTGATGTAAGTATATTGCTAATAGTTACAGTTCTAATAGGCACAGTTCTACATTATTAACTTATTTAATTTATATTAACTTATTTAATTCTCACGAAACCTTTTGAGTTAGGATTCTTTCCACAGCATATATATAAGGAATATAAGGCACAGAATGATTAAATGACCTGTTGAAGGTTACAGGCAGTGTAGAGCGGAGCAGTATATGCATCCAATCTGCTCCAGAGACCACCAGGTTATGTGCCTGTGATGTTTGTTCAGAGAAGTGAGCAAGGTTCAGAACTGTATGTATAGAATACTATTGTTTGTTGTAAGAGGGGGGACTATATGCAACTAGAAACTGTTAACATTGATTGCCTCTGGGAAAGGAATGAAATGCTTAGGGGATATGAGATTTTTCCATGTATTACCTTTTCTTTAATCTTTTATTTGTATTGATTTCAGAGAGGAAGGGAGAGAAAGAGAGAAACATTGATGATGAGAGAGAATCATTGATTGGCTGCCTCCTGCATGCCCCCTACTGGGGATCAAGCCCGAAACCTGGGCATGTGAAACCCGGGCATGTGCCCTTACCGGAATCGAACCCGGGACCCTCCAGACCTCAGGCCGACGCTCTATCCACTGAGCCAAACCAGCTAGGGCAGTGTATTGCCTTTTTGTTCCTTTAACATTTGGAACTTTATAAAGAACATCTGTAAACATTTTAATGTATTACATACTTTTTAAAAAGTAATTGCTGATGAGAGTATAAACTGGTGCAACCATTTTGGAAAAGAGTTTTGTCTCAACTGATAAAGCTGAACATATGCAAACCCATGCATTCCACCTATAGGTGGAATTCTCCCCAAAGGGGAAATCTGGCACATGTGCCCCAGGATATATGCACAAGAATGTAAGAGCCCTGGAGGTGGATTGCACAATCCTGGGAATGTACTTAATACTGCTGAACTGTACAGTTACAAATGGTTAAGATGGCACATTTTGTGCTATGTGTACTTTGCAATCATTGAAAATATAAACTATATAGGAACTACTTATACATCTTATAGTACATCATTTCACTTGGTTTTTATTAGTGCACAACATAGTATTAAGGCCTGGAGTGAACTGGAAGGAACTTGAACATGAGAATTAGATGGAGTTGTGATCTTGGCTTGGGTGAATTGACCTTGAGCGAATTGTCTAGTCTAGCCTCTAGGCACCTCAGTTTCTATTGCCTATAAAAATAGTCATTTTGCCTAAAGATAATACATACTAGGTAGGAATGTTATGAGAATAAAATTTTTAAATGTGTGTAAAGCACCTAACATAATTTCTGGTGGATCGTAAACTCAAAATAAATGACAGAACCTATTTTCAATTTAAATTCATAAAACTTAGAACATCTTGGAAAGTTTTTAAAATATATTTTTAATGATTTCAGAGAGGAAGGGAGAGGGAGAGAGAGAAAGAATCATCAATGATAAGAGTATCACTGATTGGCTGCCTCCCGCACGCCCCACACTGGGGATTGAGCTGGAAACCTGGGCATGTGCCCTGACTGGGAATCAGTCCTGACTAGGAATCAAACCGTGATTTCCTGGTTCATAGGTCAACGCTCAACCACTGAGCCACGCTGGCTGAGCTTGGAAAGTTTTTTATAAAAACAAATCCAGCCCCAGCAGGTCTAGCTCAGTTGGTTGGAATGTTGTCCCCTAACCTGAGAGGGCCGGGGTTCAGTTTCTGGTCAGGGGACATTCACAGGTCATGCTTTCAATCCCTGGTGTGGGTGGGTAAGGGAGGCAATTGGCAGATGTTTCCCTCTCACATGGATGTTTCTCTCTCTCCCTCTTTCATCTTCTTTCCTCTCTCTCTAAAATAAATTAAATAACAACAAAAACAAACCCATTTACGGTCCTTAAAAAAAAGAATAACTATAAGAGCAAAACACTGAAAATAACCCAAGTGTCTGTTAAAAGGAGAATACATGCCTGGCAGTGTGGCTCAGTGGTTGAGTATGGACCTATGAACCAGGAGGTCACTGTTGGATTCCCGGTCAGGGCACGTGCACAGGTTTTGAGCTCGATCCCCTGTGTGGGGCCTGTGGGGGGCAGCTGATCAATGATTCTCTCTCATCATTGATGGTCCTATTTCTCTCTCCCTCTCCCTTTCTCTCTGAA